CACTAGACAGTGACCATGTGCTGATTCTGAATGCGTCTCTCACAGACTGACAAAGGAGTATACTTTAAAGGCTTGTGCACTCAACTGTTTACGAAATGGAGCTTTGTGCTCGTGTATCCTACCTCTCTCATTCGGCACAAATCCAAATATTCCATAATATTTCTATATTTGCGATGTAACGTATCTGAATGCTAAATTATTATTTATTATGTAAATTATAGGCTTTGTACTTCAGGCGCGTTCCAACGGTGACACAGAGGCGAGCACGCTGATGTTTGGTTCACTGTATTTTATTTTGATGAAGTACCAACTGCGCTGTCAAGTTAGCAATGCTGGAACTGATGTGTTTTGTGTGTGTGTGTGTGCGCTGGCGCGATCACTTCAACTGTTGCCTTATACCAGCAGAATCAACTTTAAACACTTATTGTCTTATTAATAATGCATCACTGTATAAAGGTCTGCTTTTATTTGTGTACACTCACAATGAAAACAAAACATTGTGCTTTTGTAAAATAAAGAAAACAAATAGGATGTAGCTTTCTGTGAACAAATTAAGCCTGTCACAAAAATGAACTGAAACTCAGTGTATATAGGCTACGTTACGTGTCGCACTGTTTTTTTCCCTTGTTTATCTGTAAACTAAATCAAATATATTTCAAGAATTTATTCCTTGTATGTATATATGTACTGCAGATTTTATATATATAACAATGCAATAATATTTAGTATTTGCACATCTAGGTGGAATTTTTTCTTAATTTGCACTACTGTCTGTTCAAAATAAATTAAAAGAAACCAAGCATAGTAGATTTGTTTTTTTCCCCTGTTGTACCGAAATCGTATCGAACCGTGACATCTGTGTACCGTTCCACCCCTAATATATATATATATATATATAATCAAACCTACTGAAATAGTGTTGTTATTGTTAACTAAAACTATTAAAAAAATTGTTAATTGAAGTAAAAAATAAATGAAAAAAAAATGACAAATGTTACCTTGTCAATTAACTGAAATAAAATACGTTTAGATTGAAACAATAAAACTAAAACTGAAAAACATCAAAGCTAAATAGAAATATTACAAAAAAGCAATAAAAATGAAAGAAAAAAAAAAATTACTAAAAATGTAAACTATACTTAAAATGAAAACTGAAAATCTAAAAATAAAAGCTAATTCAAAATAATAATTACTAAAATTGTATATAAATAAAACAAAAATATCACTTAAAGACAACAAAAGAACACAAACACAATTATTTCATTTATTTAACCCATTTAAAATTCTTAATAAAGGCCTCAAAGCAACTGCACATAATTAATCTAAAGAAAAATATGAAATATTAATTAGAAATATAATTTTTAATAATCTTTCACCTAACTTTAATAACTTTGTGTACATTTTAAACACCTTTTTGGCTGACAGATAGACAGGGAAAATATGTTGAATAAGCTTTACATCAAATTTTCCTGCCTTACATTATTTTCTGCTGTATAATCCATTTCAGTCCAAAATCGGCCTCATTAAGGAAGTGAATTAAATGAGTTAAAATTGTCGTTTCTTTTTTGTTTGCTCACCTGAAAGCAGTTGAGTTCAGCGTCACTGAGAATGTGATCATTATCCTGATCAGAGATGCTGAAGATCCGACTCAGAGCTCGAACACACTGCAGCTTCAGCTACACAAAAAAATGCATAACACGCACAAACATTCATAAATCTTACATGAACTCATAAGATGAAGCCGGGCAGAGATGTAGCAGTGCGTGCGTGTGTGTACCTGTTTGTCTTCAGGGTCGTAGAGCGGAGCAGTCGGGTGTAGAACGGCCTTCTGGGCGTAATAAAAGAGCTCGGAAATATTCTTCAGATTCTTAGCTGAGCACTGCAGACATAAATGCATCATCATATAATCATATATAATATATCATATACTCATAATCAGCATTTTTAGCCACCTAGGCTAAAAAGATGCCATCTAGGTAGAATGCTCACTAGGGTTTAAGAAAGATCCATTACATTTTCAATATTCAGTACTTCATCAGTAACCAAAAACACTTTAAATTATTAACTAAACAGGTATTTTTTTGCTCTATTGAAATAGAGTTTCAATATATACAAACAATAACATTCACAAAGCCAAATTCGACTTTTTGCACAGCCCTAGTTTTAACAAACAACATTCAGAAGAACGAGCCAGTATAAAGAGTTAAGCCAATCACAGCAGCGGTCATTTATATAGAGAATTCTTAAAGGCACAGTTGCAAAAACAGCGTCAGGTCAGAGACAGAGAGAGGGTCAAATATAGTCATGAAAAATGTAATTATGATTTTCTATAGCGAGAAACCTCGACTAATTTTAATAAGATGATCTCAGGAGAAAACTAAACTAAAAAAGTGTGATAAATGACCCTTTTCATACATTCATGCGAATCTATATGAGATATGTGTGAAATATGTTGAAGATTTATTTGAGTTTGTGCGGTCAGCGGTTCGAACCTCTACACAGGTCTCAATCTCTGAAAACTGGTTCATGATTGGCAGGATGCTTTCCATGGAGCTGCCGGAGCGCAGGTCGGACTTGTTGCCCACGAGGATGATGGGAATCCTACGGCAACAAAGAGGGCCATTTTTTATGGAACTCCTAAAAAATGCAGATGCACTCACATAAGAACGGCATCCATAAACATACTTGCTTCCTTTTTCAGCACCACCGTTCACCAGCGGAATCCATTTAGTCCTGATCTGAGAGAAAAAAACACACGGATAAAATCAGTTCAGGGAAAATATATGACAAAAATATACTGATAATGTTAAATTGATACCTTGTCAATGGTTTCCTCTTGTGTGACATCATAAACCACACACACAACATTGGCCTACAAATGAGAAAACAATCATATGAAATTCATATAATAATCACATACAATTTACACACACATTTTACACATACGCGCGTGCACGCGTGTGTGTGTGTGTACCTATTTAACCATATTTTGGGGACAAATTTGTTCCCAAAAGTGAGCAAAACCTGACAAAATCGTCAAAAACCTCCATTTGGGGACGTCCTCATTTGTAAAACTGGTATAAAAATAAAGTAAACAAAGTTTTTTGAAATTGTAAAAATGTAGAAAGTTTTCTGTGAGGGGTAGGGGTGGGTTTAGGTTAAAAAGTGTATAACTATCTGTATATAAAAACAATAGAAGTCTATGTAATGTCCCCATTTAGATAGCTAAGTAAACGTGTGTGTGTGTATATATATATATATATATATGCATTTATTTAATCAAAAATACAGTAAAAATAGTAATATTTATGTTTATATTTATTTAATATATAGTGAAATATTACTGCTTTGGTGCTCAATAAATATTTCTTAACTATTATTACTATAAATGTTGAAAACAGTTTTTGTTGCATAATATTCTTGTGGAAATTGTCATAACCCAAAGGTTTGGGGTTAAATAAGATTATATATTTAACCCCAAATTATATATATATATATA